TAAACAATATAGACAATTATGAAAAATAATCAATTGTATTAGTTTAAAAATTTGAAAATCGCGTCAAAATGTAATTATATATATATATATATATATATATATATATATATGAAATTATTTTTGAACGATGTTTAATCAATTTATACTTAAAATTATTGAAAAGTCTCACTTGCTAGCATGACTTATACCATTTGGTAACAAAGAATTGTGTTTATTTGGAAAATATTTATATTATTGAAGTAAATTCATCAAACCCCTTTTTTTTCAAATGTATGTTTTGTTTCTAATATAAATCAAATTACTCGGTTTTAGGTACTTTAATTATTCATGTTTATAATATAAATGAAATTACTCAGATGTATATTTATTAATCATTGACAATTACACAATCATAGGCAATTAATCAGTGTCACCGTCTTCTTCAATAACTGGGATCATGCGTTTGTTTATAAACATTCTACACACAATTTCTGAGGTTTTAACAATTTTGTGGGAGCAGCCCAAGGGTGATACGTCCGTTCGCACCTTAAAATATAATATCGTTTCACTCCCGATATTCCCATGGTGAAAAGAAATGGGTGGGTGCACTGATGTCTGGTCGTTCTGCGCTGCACCAGTTTGCGTCACGAACCTTGTGACCACAACACGGGCACTTCGTTGGGAAGCAAGATCAGACGTTGGCTGCCCTGTGTTGGCTATTACAAACTGGTGCCTGAAGCATAGCGGCTGAACTCAGATGCGCAGGAACTCACCCCTCTATTTCCATAATGGATATTCCGATTGATTTTGGTACTAGGTGATCTTGGTACTAGGTTTGGATCTAGGTGATAATATAACACCTAGAAGATTTCAAATTCATATATCGGCATTGAATCTGTGTTTAAATATTGGTAAAAATGTTTCTTTTTCCAATTAAATTTTGGCATGAATTTCAAATTTGTAAAGTGATAATATTTCTTTTAGTGTTTTTTCACCATCGTCCACATTGTTTAAACATTTGAAACAAAATATATGCTATAAGACACATTCCAGGGGGAAAAACTGAGACAGTACACCAAAGTAATCAAGTCGATAATTTTTTTCTATTTGAATTTGGTGTCAAAATTGGTGGACAAAAATACCTTCATTTTTAACTATTTTCCCCCGTCTCTCCACTTTTTTGCAGCTTGATACATGCAATAGACGCCGAGAAAAAAATAAAACATGAAAATCACGTTTCTCGTTGTCTCAGCAACATACTGCCCTAGGAGACTGATGTTTTGGTAATACACGACATTTTTTATTCTCTTACACATGAGCTTCCATAGATAATTCTTATCCCATTAAAAATCGCATATTAAATGTCATGTAGATAATAACGTTTCTCTGTTTTTTAAGGTCATGCTGACAAGATTTCATTAAGATCCGAACACAAATGTAGATTTGTATCATAATGAAGTACAATGTTTATGATCGAAAATAATAATTAGAAAAAAACAGCCTAACTTACTGTATGTTCAAAAATTACTCTACATGTTAGTGAAAACCCTACTGAAACCGGTTTAGCCGTTCCTCGTCTGGTAACTACAGACTATTAGGTAGAGGAATTTTTTTTTTCATACAAGTTTATGTTTTAATGTTAGCTCGTATGATTTACCTAAAGTATTTCAGCTAATAACTATATTTTGTAAGAAAAAATGTGCACCTAAAAATTAAGAACATTGGGTGATCGGAAAGGTTAACATTTTCCATTATTTTTTATTTCTGATTAAGATATATTTTATTATTATTGTAGTCATCAAAGTTAATATAATTGTATTTCTGTGAAAAACTTCATGACTTATCTAAACAGCTTTGCCCCGTTTTTTGTTTACAAACAGTTGTACTACAAATAGGTGTTAAAAGACGAGTTATTAACTCATATTCAGTTTATTCGACTTAATCCACGTATTAAAATCACAACAAAGTTAACAAATCAATAACTAGTATACAATGTCAAATTTGGGCGGTGTTGTTCTCTTTTCATCCCTTTTCACCACTTCTTCATCCAAAGAACATAATTGACAGGCAGTGAAACAATTTCCAAATTTTCATGAGTTTGCCTCTTGACACTGCAGCCTACAAGCGGAACCAGAAAGGCGAAATCATTGCGGTCGAAACTGAATCTCTGCCTCAATAATTTCACCAGTATAAGTGTTCAAGTGCGAAATGAGACTAAAAGGGAGCGCGGGGAGGAATAAAAGAAAAGAAATAGGAAATAAAAGAGAAAGGAAAAGAATAAATATCAGATGCAGAGATAATCGACTTCCGAGAATGTATCATGCGTGGTCGAAGCATGGAGTAATGAACCATACCTCCATACCGGCAATTAATGAACTTCCTTAGTCTACGGTCAAAGCCATAAGGCAGCGAAGCGTGTGCGTCACAGGAGAGGATGGTGAGTGCAGAGAAAAAGCACGCGGGAGAGGGTCCCGTGGGCCTTACCTTCCTGTCGAGCGCCTGCTGCTGCTGCTGTGCTTGAGCCGCCCAGAAGCCGCGAGAGACACCGGGCACCGCCGCGCGCGTCCGCGCAGCGCCTCTGCAACAGGTGCGACGCGCTCAGCCGCTGCGCCCCTGCGCCCCTGCGCCTCCTACGCCCGATCCTGCGCCCTCTGCCCACTGCGCCTCGGGGCCGCGACGGCAGCCGACTGACCCTCGCCTGCCCTCCCCGGCCGAGGCACACTGGATTCCGATATGCAGATGGGGTGACGCGCGGGGCTACCCCACGGCTTATTACTCGGGCCGGACCGCCCTAATTATCCCGGCGGCGGTGGAGCGTCCGCGCCGGCGAAGGACCGCGGGACACGCGACGCCCGCGGCCGCGTCAGCCGTGACGGCGGCGCGTCACGCGCCGCGCACGCGCGCACGGGGGGGGCGAGTGGGGTGGGGCGGAGCGCGATCGCCCCGCGCGGTGCGGCCGCGGCGTCTGACACGCGCGCGCGCGCCGCCCGCCGCCTTATACTCGCCCGCGCGCCGCGCAGCGTCCTTCCCGCCCCTCGGCCCGCCACGCGATACGCCAGGTCCGATACGCTGGGACCGCAACGACAGCCGGATTGATCCTTCCCGGTGAGTGACCGCGCGCCTCGGTTTCCGGTCGACGCCTCGCCCGCGCCGCGTGGGCTGCCCCGGCCTCGGCCCCTGCCGCCCTCGCCGCCGCACGATGGTCCGAAACGACTCAAACACTCCGATAGAAAAATATACTAATAATAAATAAATACAAATTAATGAAAATAAAAAAGTCCAAGCCGTATCATCCTACTGTCCTTATTATCCAACAAGAATTGTAAATGAGGTAATAGACAGTGAAGTTACTGTGCGTGTTCGATCGTGGGGGTTCGCATTACGCGAAGCTCACAAGCAGGGAGTGCTAGTGTCTTGCGCAATCTCAATGGACGTGTCGTTAAGGATAACAAGCACTCATTGGAGACAACTTCAATTATACGAGTAAAAAACGAAAATGGGACTATAAATTTGACACAAATTTATGTAACGTCACGAATATATATTTATTATTATTATTATTATTTATTATATATTTAACACTTTTAGCTAAGGTGAATAGTATCAATGACACAATACGTGATTTTCAATTGCAATCATTTGCAAAACACATTACGAGACAGGCAGGTAAGACAACTAATATATTCATAAAAGAAAATATCACACTATATTGTCCATGATTCTTCATTAAAACCGGATTCTGTTCAATAGGTCATAAAGCTTTCGCAAAGATTGCATTCTGTGCGCAGAAACATGATGCAGAGAAATTCCGAAAAGCAAGCTTTCTGCATGAAAGACATGACATAAGGGCATCGTAGACCATGTTGACAATGAACTAGACGTAAATATTATCAAGAAATACAATTTTAAATTGCTTAATTTTACTGTATTCACGTTACACATTTCAAAAACGCCAGGTGTATGAAAAATCTTTGCATTAGATCGTAGAAAATGAGGAATGTTTACGTCGCCATTCGGGTGCACTGCGTCCGCCGCCCCCGCGTGGCCCGACCCCGGCCCCAGGCCCCGGTGTTCGAATCTGGGGTAGCAGTGGCATCCCCGGCCTACAGCCGCCTATGGGCTTTTTTTCGGGTCGCTTGCGGCGCGGTGCCAGGGCCGCGCGGGGGCGCACGCGAGCGCATCGCCAAGCAGGCACGCGACTCGTCCGCACTCACCCCGCGGCGCGCGCGTCCAGCTCCCGCTCCTCCTCCTCCGAGTCGCTGACGGCCCGTACCGGCGCCATGCCCCTGCGGCGGTGCGTCGCTCAGCTGCGTGCGGGCGGGCTGCAGGCGCGGCCGCCGGCGCGGACTGGCCCCGTGCCGGCGCCGCGCCGCCGTTGCCACGCCCCGCCGCCCCGCGCGCGCCGTGGTCCAGCCTGCCTCCGACGCGCCGCCGCCGGTGACTTGGCGGCGCAGTCACGCCGCGCCTTTCAACGCCGCTTCTCCTGCCCCGCTCCGCCCCAGCCCCGCCTCGCCGTCGTTCATTAGCGACCACTGACCCGGGATTTATTTATTTATTTTAGAGAAAAAAGTAGAAACTGTATGTGACGTATGGGGGAGAAAATTCCCTCCTGTCGTTCGTTCCCTCTCGGACTATCCCGAGCTTTAACTCTCGTGTTTTGTGAAAGGCGTGTACCTTTAAACCCTTTTACCAGCGCAATTTATTTCTGGGCTCTATGTCGTGGGAGAATGTAGACCAGTGGCGGAGCCGTCGATACTTGGTTTCTTTCCAGCAATCATCTGACCTCAGAGGAAATGCCTCATGTCTTTCACTCGCTCGCCCCTGGCCTTGTTACATATGCATTGTTGCCTGCCGGCGTCGAACCCTGGACTGAGGGGTAAAATGCTTGGGGAGCCGACGTTGCCCGTGCCACCTCGTATTCCCCGCCAGCACTGTGAAGTCCAGTTAGTGTCCGCCGCCGCGGACAGATAGCGCGCGGAGTCGGTTCGCTGGAACTCGACCATACAGTATCGATAGAAGCCGTACTCGCGCAGCATCGACCCACATCGAGGAAGCCAGCTGAGTTCACGGGTTGTCAGTGACAGATATCGTATGTGTGGGTGTTCGTTTAAGTTTAGCGTGTTCATGTAAATTAATTCAGTGTGTGTGAATGCACGTCTGAAGTGTGCTCTTTATAGAAAACGGCGAAGCTATGTGACATCTCACAGTGTTCATTTAGTAAGTGTTGGTGTACAAATAAGGTTATGTATTGTGATATTCTGTCATGGACATCCAGTTTATGTAATACTACATTTGCAGAGGCTGAGCCAGCGTGACGACATGAGTCGCAATTTGGAGTCGTCGACTCAGCTGACCGAGTTTGCGCCTCTGAGCCCCGAACCACATCAACCAGCCGTCGGCCTCTTCTTGTCTCGCATCTTCAAGTTCAACCGAGGTAAGCGCCACTTTCTGACTGCCCGAGAGCAGGAGTAGAGCGCGCGGGGGCGCGGATGCTGAGAAACAACTGGTTTCCCACGAGTCAGCTGTTTGAGCCAAGCGCTATAACATTTCCAGAGGAAGCAATTCACAAACGTTTCACAACGTTGATGGCATGCGTTGAGCAACAAAATACTGACGCCGAAAGTACTCAATTCTCTGTAATCATTCTTGCTATCGCTGGAATTTGATATTGTTATGCGTGATTTTGAGGCACGTCCTTCACATTCCTGATCACAAAAAAACAAAATAAATACGTTATAAATGTTGGCTTATCTTTTGTTTGATATTCTGACAAAATGCTAGCGATAATCCCTCATTTCTCTTCGAGAGATGAGAATGAATCACCGCGCATGTGTTCATTAACATACATAAACATAGTCGCAGGCTGTTCGGGGAAAAAGCAATAAGTAATGCCAA